GTAAGGTATACCTTACCGGAAAGATTTCCTATATATATATATATATATATATATATATATATATATATATATGAGTTCAAATGAGAAGACATTAAAATGAGAATTAATCTCAGCCGTCCAAAGTGTCGGTCTGATGCACAATAACCCCTATCTGATGCACTTTCAAATAGACCTTATTTGATGCACTTTTCGAAAAGTGCATCAAATAAGGTCTATTCGAAAGTGCATGAGATCGACACTTTGGACAGCTGAAATTAATTCTCATTTTACACGTTAAGACTTTTTTTATTTGATCCAAATTATATATATATATATATATATATATATATATATATATACACATATATATAGGTAAGAGATCAAATACAAACCATGCTTAAAATACTAACCTACAAACTCAATAATATGCAACACTTTGAACTTCAATATGCAATACAAATAATGTAAAGATGCACGCTGTGAACTTCAATATGCAATACAAATAATATGCAACACTTTGAACTTCAATATGCAATTCAAATAATGTAAAGATGCACTATTTGTGACAGTTTGTAGGTTAGCATGGAAGGACTAGTTTGTAGGTGAGCTCACCCCTATATATATATATATATATATATATATATATATATATATATATATATGTATAGAGTAGTCTTCCGGTCAGGTATACCTGACCGGAGCCCCGTCCGGCCTCCTCCATTTGGGGGCCTTCCCGGTGGTATGTTTTGCTCAAATTTTTTGTGTAGGTTCCTCATCAAGTCTAGTTTGGTCATACCAAATTTCAGCCAAAAATTCAATCGGGAAGGTCGTCAAATGATTTTTGCAAGTTAACTGGTCCGGAAAATACATATTCCGGACCAGTTAACTTGCAAAAATCATTTGACGACCTTCCCGATTGAATTTTTGGCTGAAATTTGGTATGGCCAAACTAGACTTGATGAGGAACCTACACAAAAAATTGGAGCAAAAAATACCATCGGGAAGGCCCCCAAATGGAGGAGGCCGGACGGGGGCAGTGGTCCGGCCTGGCCGGACCTGAATTATTCTCTCTCTCTCTCTCTCTCTCTCTCTCTCTCTCTCTCTCTCTCTCTATATATATATATATATATATATATATATATATATATATATATAGATAATACAATTCAAGGTTACAATTAGAGAAAGTGTTGCCACATGTCAACTCCACAATTATTATTGTTTAAACATTACTTTCCAAATTAAAGAAATCTATGCACAACTAATACACCGAATCACTAATACTCGGTATTATTGATAGTTGAATACTTCTCAAATTCCTATTATTTAGGATCCTACCAATATACAATCTCATGTTTATTTTAAAATGTTATAACTTTTTCATTTGTAATCTGATTGTTCCAAAAATTACATCAAATTTCATAACTTTTTATTAGCTTTCAAATGACACCAATATTCAATATACAAAAATAAAAAAATTAATTTACACCTTTTTTTTAAAGTGATACAAATTTTTTTATTTGTACTCCGATTGTTACAAAAAATACATCAAAAGTCATCACTTTTTAAACGGCCCGGCCAACTTAGAAAAATTATGATTGCGGTTATTTCTTTCTCCAATCCTCTTGACAAATCTCAATTACACGGTTGTTACATAATTATTATCTATACCAGTTAACTTGGAAAATTTTTAATGGATAGAGGGAGCAATTTTTAAATACTTCGAATCAATTAAAATCATTAGTTTTGGTTGTTATTTTAGCTCAAATAACATTCAATTACCGTTTAGAATACTCCTTATTTCCATATTTCCCACATAATAGGCATTGAGCAATTTCCTTTTTTTAGATAAAGATGGTTGACAAGACGAAGTTCATTTGGAAGCAATCAAGACTTATGGAAAAAATTGGCTCTTTTAATAAAAAAAAAATGGGCTGAGAACATGTTTAGATGTTTAGTTAAAAAATAAGACATTCTAGATAAATAAGAATATGTAGTATTATCAACCAATGTTATAACCGAGTAAATGAGTGACTTTCCATCCACTTATAATTACTCATACATATGTTAGTGAGCACACTCGCATATATACAGTATAACATTTACTTTCATAAAAAAGTAATTACATTTACTTTTAATTCTAATTTTCTATTTTAAATTATACAATTCACCCCATAAATTTACATTTTTGAAAGAAATAATACATGACAATGGTGCGAAAATAACTTTTTATATAAAGTTTGGGGTATTTAAATTACATATGCAAGTTTGGAGCGCTTACCTCACACCCCTTCAAAGTTCGGATTGTTTTTATTATTTTTCCCTAAAAAATAAGACTCAGTGTGTTACAATTTGCAAAATATACATTTGTCTTAGGGCCTGTTTGGTTTAGAGTAATCTCACATGCAGGCCCGAAATGTTATGCATAAGATGTTAGATGTTCATGTTTGGTTCGCGGGGTTTTTAAAAATTCGGGAAAGTTACATTCCTGGGCGTGATATGGAGGGCAATGTTAAACTCATACATGCCTTGAATTATCTGACATTCTCGGGGATGACCTAACTCTTTTCCAAAATTACTCTCAATTAATTACTACCTCCGTCCCAAATTGTTTTGTAAAATCGTCGTTTTTTTGTCAACTAATGTTACGGTTAAATCCTCCCTGTCGGTAATTAATTCAATTTTAAGAATAAAAATTCACATATTAGAAACTACATCAAAATCTCTCTAAAGTTATAAAATCTCAATTAAAATTTAATTAAGAATTAAAATCCTAATTAAGTGAATAAAATAAATTTGTTTGACTCAAAAAGTCAATTTAGTAACTCAATTTAGGATATAGGGAGTATTTCTTTTCATTTAATTTCTTTTTGACTCTTCCATCTTCAATTGAGCCGGGGATAAACTTTGTTTACCATATTTTCTCATCATGTTATGACAATATACTTTTAGTACTACATACGTCCCACTTAAAGGTTCTCGCTCATTATTCTCCAGTTAACGTAAATGTTTTTAATCTTTTACTTTATATATTCAACTTTTATGATAATAAATTGTATTTTTTAATCTGATTTTTGCATACGCAATAGACAATTGAACTTTTTTTAAATTGTATTTTTTAATGATGATAAATATTTGTAGATTACTCTTTGAACAAAGGTTTTCTCATTTCTATATTGGATCTACAATTTTTTACAACTAAACATCGTTTACTGAAAAATAATCCATTTAGTATAAATTTTATTTATTATTAAGATATTTCATTTTTTATTTTAATTAAAATTACTTTAGATGTTGGTTGTAATAGATTTATTGTATTAAGAGAAAATATTTGCAAGGCATTGAAGTAAAATCATTTTATGTTTCGATTATCACCTACCACTTGACGTGATAATCCTTTTATAGATTTAACTAAGCCGGCCTTTCAGGGAAAAAATGTCTATTAAAGCATGCAACCTCTTCGTTCAATAAGACTCATTTTGAGTCAATCTAATGAAAAATAGATCAATCTCTAAAATCGTGTTATGCAGTCGGTCTGTTGTCACTGCCATCACCTTCATAAAATCAGAATGTTACAAAATTATACATGGTTTATTCTAAACTCTTTTATCAAAGGAGATCGGACTAATTTTTTCAATCCTAAATAATAGAAAGGCTAATAACTTAAAAAATTGACCATACCCATTATTAAATTATAAATTATAAAAATGTGTAGTTATTAGTTTTGAAAAAACAGTAAGCTACAGATGAAATCAAATGGATAAAAATAGGGAATGAACAATTTCTTTTTTTTTTATTTAGATAAAGATGCTTGAAAAGATGATGTTCATTTGGATGCAACCAAGAGTTATAAAAAAATTGGTTCTTTTGATTGGAAAATATTGACTGAGAACATGTTTAAATTTTTTGTTGAAGAAAGACATACTCAATAAATAAGAATATGCATTATTAACCGATGTTATAATTGGCTAAATATGTGACCTTCCATTACTTATGATTACACACATATATATCTGTGTGTGCGCACACACATGTAGTATAAGAAGAAAAATTCGGTCTATCCCGTGCACGGCACAGGTAGAGATACTAGTATATATATATATATATATATATATATATATATATATATATATATATATATATATATATGCACACTACGTATAATATAATACTATCATACTAACACTAGTCACTCACGGCCTGCAGCAGGAGGTGAAGAAGAAGAAAGGTGTTTGGCTACAGATGAAAAAGACCGGTCTTTGGCTGAGGAAGAAGAAGAATTGACTTGGCTGCGGATGGACGAAGAACTGTTGGCTGCAGCAGAAGAACTGGATACAGAGAACGTTGGGAATAATAGGGGCAAAGGTTGTCCAACACTTCATTACACCCCAAATTGGGTGTTAAAAAAGTGATAGATATAGGTGTTAGGAAGGTTTTGATTAACACCCTCAAACACTTATTAACACCACCAACTTTTTTTAATCTTTCTCACAAACAAGTGTTAAACTGAACACTCCTTAACACTTCCATTACTAACACCTCTCAACACCTAATCCAAACAGGCCGTTAAAGCCCTTATATATAGAGGTCGTTTGGCAACACTCGTTTTCGGCTTATCAGGCTTATCAGCCAACTTTTTCACCAAACATGTAACTTTTGCTTTCGCGCGCTGAATTGTGTTATAAGCAGAAAAAGTAAGGTTGGAGTTACTTTTCTAGCCGTATTGGCTGAAGTTACTGTAGATGATGATTTTAGCTATTTTTACATATATTTTTTCTTTATTTTATTAATAAAATATATTTTAAAAATAATTTTTTCTTAAATCAGCAGAATCAGGCTATGCAGCCACTTCAACCAGAACTTCATATATTTCAACAGAATCAGCCAAATCAGCCAATTTTCTGGTTACCAAACGGCCTCATAATATGCTTGGTGGCATTACTTTCTGAGTACAAGCAAGTTGATTCAGAATTTCAGATCAATGTCTTAAGAGTTTTAAATATATATTTACTGGGGAATTGTTTTCAAGTGTCAAAGAAGATTAAACTTCCATTTTAAATTTGTAACTACATATATTTAGAAGTTCATACATCTCCATATAACTGATACAAGTGTATTTGCTGCCTACTTCCCTCACTTCTGTGCATCTTTTGCTACAATTAGTCTTTGCCCGCGACAACTACCACAAAGATTTTTTTTTTCTCCAAAGTTTAAAGCTACAGACGATTTCACAGAGCAAATAAAACCTGTGATCAGCACAAGTACAACTCAATCAGATAACTCTAATCGCTGGTGTTTGGCTGTTTCTATTAGTGCATGCATAAACTTTTCAGGTTCACAAATGTGCGGATTCTTTTGGGCTGCATGTGCCAAGAATGGAAGCTTTCTTAGTGATCTTCCGCTCAAACCCTGAAAGAAGTAACTAGTTAGTTTCTTCATCACATGTTCCCTAATTGCTTGGTTAGCGCTGGAAATATTATGAGGCCTGAAATGGGCAGAAAAAAATTGCTGTCCATTGGATTTGGCACCTGTCTTTTTCAATATGACCGTCTTGCTTCTCAATCTATTTTCATTCAATTTACATTCCAAACGAATCATTATACGGCGGACTTCAATTACCTAGTGGCTAGTATATAGAACAATATGAGTGAAAATAGATTGTGCTGTGAGACCCCCCTCCATCCTCACTGTTACTTTCTATTTTTATTGTTTTATACACTCATGAATCACCCCTTTCAACTCCAAAACATATTTGCATTTTCGAAAAGAAAATGTAGGATGGCTAAAAGCCCATTTAGCTGAATTTTCTGGAAAGAAAAGCATATGTGCATCTATTTCCGCCAAATAAGCCAGTCAACAGCTATTCATTCAGCTTGTGCACATTATTCTGGTGAGATGTAGACTAAGCAAAAAAAAACGGAACTGGCTACTAAAGGAAACTCAGTTGCACTATCAAAAAGTAGGCTGTTCATGTTGAAAAAAGTGTCAAATCCAATGGACGAATAAGGTGCTGAGCCAGAGGTAAAAAGGAATTTCATTTAGTTCAGGGGAGAAGAGGGTAAATAGGACCTTCATTTATTTTATATTAAAAAGTACTCCGTACAAATCGACACTCCTGAATAATAAAATAAATGGTCAAAATATTAAACACATGGAGGGTTATGGTGAACAAAATAGAACTCGGTAAAATGGGTCAAATGCACAGTTAAAGAGTACATGGTCATAGTGAAAAGAAAATGTCAAACCCAATGCCCAAAAAGGGTGTTAAGCCTGCCCAAAATTTATATACCTCACATGCTTCAGCAGCATCAAGCAGCAGTTTGGAAAGGTGGGATTGTGGTTGATACTCTGGTGTCACTGATTTGCCAATGTGGTCTCTCAAACTAGAAAAGTTCGGGAAAACGAGCCTCTCGACGCCCTACACACGACTTACAGCGTTGGTATATCAAGAGTATATTCCACCAGACCACTACAACTATTTGACATTAAGAAATACTCCCTTCATTTCTATTTACATGTCTTCATCGACCAACATTGCATGTTCCTTTTAATCCATCCTTTTGTGAAACTGATGCACACTGAAGATTTTTTCCAGATTTTATGCTTCTTGTACTAAACATATATATAAGGTAGTAAGTAGTAACTAGCAAGTAATTACTCCATATTACAAAAGGCAATTTAGGTAATACAAATACGGTCTGTTAAATTATCATTCCAATGAATTTTCTTAAGCTGTATGATTTGATCAATAGAGACAGATGAAAAGGACAAGCCAAAGTGCAATGGAGGTGGCATTGAAATTGCAGAATGCAGGTCAACAAAAAATTACCAGCATGGATGAATTTGACAATATTCCAGCTCTTAAGAGTTCTTGCAAGCAAGACCTTAGTATCTCATAGCGCGCTTGAAGCGTTGGGGGTCCCACATATGCTTTAATATCAGCTCGATCCACAAAAGCTATATCTGAGATTGAAATGAAATACACACACATAGTTTGAATCAAATGAGAGTGCGATCTAAGGAGAAAAATGAGAATAAATCTGGTGCATTAGATTTAAGAATTGTGCATTGTGTGAAAAATAAATGGTCACTATCATGAATCAGAAAAAGTGGAATTTTTGTAGATGAATTAAACTTTTCTGTCATTTGAACTATGCATTATCTTAACTCTAAATGTGCACCGCCGTTAACCAAAATGTGCATTGTTTCGTGTCGTTCGGAATATATATGTACACATGTGTGTACGTGTGTATATATAGTGGAGATTCACTACAACAACACATAACAAAGAGTTTTCTCAAGAATTGACATTTGACTAAAATGTGTCCCAAACATGAAAATCACAATAGCAAAACAATGATAGATGTTACACTTTGTATAGCATCACCCGTTGAATAAAATGAGACACCATATATAATTCCATGGTTGCTGTAAGTGGATAAGAGACATCATTTGCAAACTATAAACTCCCTCAGTCCCTAAAAAACTCATCTTGATAGAGTGCAACTTTCATTTGTCAACACAATCAAGGTACAAGCTTTTACATATTATGAATGGTCATTCATACTCATAAAACTTATTTCCTAGGATTTTGTTTGCAGTAAGTAAATACACCCACTTGTTACTTGGCTTTACACAAATTTTACTTTGTAATCAAAGTTGTTTTTATAGGGAAAAATACTTAAAATACCCCAAACTTTAAAGGAGTGTGAGGTAAACACCTCAAACTTTTATATGTAATTTAAATACCCCAAACTTTATATAAAAATTTATTCTAGAACCATAGTCAAGTACTATTTCTTTCAAAAATGTAAATTTATGGTGTTAATTGCATAATTAAAAATATTTTAGAATTCATGAACACACAATAACATTCTAAACTTCCATTACAAAATAAATAATGTGAACCCGATCTATATAATCGCAACACTTTTAATTTGCTATGTTAAATTATGCAATTAACCCCATCAATTTACATTTTTGAAAGAAATAATGCATGACCATGGTGCAACAATAACTTTTTATATAAAGTTTGGGGTATTTAAATTACATATGCAAGTTGGGGTTGTTTACCTCACACCCCTTCAAAGTTTAGTTTGGGGTATTTTTATTATTTTCCCCTTTTTTGTAACACGGCTGTTTTTTAACAAAAAAAATCTAATAAGCTCTTATTTTGGGGGGCAGAGGGTGTAATAGTTTACGATAACAAATTAATAAAAAGTAATCATATATTATGATGGAGCCAAAAACTCACTATTTTTTGACTTGGGAATATGATGGAATAAAGCAAAATGGCTCACTAAACTGTCTGTGCTTCTTTTTTATGAAGCAGCAATCAGTCTTGTAATTTTTGACGCGATTTTCACTATGGGTCATTCGGAAACAGTCTCTCTGTGCTTCAGTACAGGGGTAAGACTGTGTACATCTAACCCCTCTTACCCCACCGTTGGTGGGAGCATTTGCGGCACTGGGGTAATGATGAAGAATGAATGAATGAATCATATATTGAGAATATTGGGACCTCTATAATTTCTATTATTGAAATGTGTAATGTTACCCTAGTACATAGCATGCGTATGGGTTACATGATGTGCATGGCCCTTTATAATTCCCTCTCTAGCATTCACAACCACCATTTGTAGTATATATGTAAGATGCATGTAACAGAAGCAGGTGAAAAAATGTGAAGTATTATTTCTACTACATGAAATCTAGTGCCCCCAATATGATGATACGAGCTCAGCTATCTGCCAAATTAATCCCAACCGGGACTTCTCTAAAGTTTATACCCGCATGGGCAAAGGAGGGAATGTACTTGCAGAAAAAGAGAGTGGACGCAGACTAGCTACTGAAGAGGCGCACGTATGGAAGGAAGAGAATAAAGAGTAACGGAAGGAAGGGAGAAGGGCAGTCGGGAATTTTTGTAGAACTGTAGTTTAGGAGAGAGACCCTCTCGAATTGGTTTCAATCTGAATTTTCTTCCTGCGTTTCTTTCTGTTATTGTTTTCGTTTACCAGCATCACAGTAAACCTTCCTTTCAGTGATCAATATATACAATCATTGTGTGGGGTGTGGTTCGTACTTATAATTGGTATCAGTGCAAAGACTTTTTTATGGGGAAAGAACAAAAAAAATGGGTGGCTAAACTAATGGGCTATAATTTCATTATCACATACAAGCCAGGGTTAGAAAACAAGGCCGCTGATGCATTATCTAGAAAGAGAAGTTACCGAGCATTGTCTGCCAGGGATGGGAGGGACTAGAAGAAGAGTTACTGCAATATAAAAGGTCCAACCAGCTCATTCAAGGTATGTGGTATGTTCAGAATTAAAGGAAAGAATTAAATGGCTAAACTCTCCTACTTTCTCTCGCAGTAAGTATCTCACAAATGAGTGAATGAGCGATAGTAGAAACCAAGGGAGAATCTCCAAGTCTGAAATTAATATTGATTCTGCACACCCAGCTTGAATAAGGCTAGGCTATTTATAGAGAAGAAAATACAACTGACCCATAACTAACTAAAAATAACCGACTCCATCCATGATCTAATAACTACCCTAGTGGATTGATGCATGACACCAAAACCCACTTATTTCTGTAACTGACGTAATTAAACAAATAAGCAATAAATATTAAATAATTGAAGACTCAGGCAACACTTGTTCCTTTTTGCTTGCGAATCTGGTATGTCAGCACCCTATCATTACTCCCTCCTTTGAAAGTCGACTTGTCCTCAAGGCGGAATTCTGGAAATTATGGGTTGTAGCAAACCAGCAGGTGATAATGCTTCATATTTGTTTTTTTTGACAAACAAAGCATTGTTGAATGAAAGATTTAACGTCAGATTTCATGTGTTGCCAAAAACAGTATCTGAGAGCCTTTTCAAAGTTTAAAGGAATCCTCCACAACCGCCCGAAGCAGTTTCGAGTACTGTGATTTTGTTGAGGGCCCGATGGTTCTTGTTCTGTGTCTTCGGCTAATTCCAAAGAGTTTGGCATTGAATTCTCGTCTTCTACAACTTAGCGAGAACGTAGTAGAACGGCGATGGTCTGGTCGGAATGGGTCCCCACAACGGGAACACAACCCTTTTTGCGACGTTGTTTTGTCGCATCCCATGAACGTGCAGGGGACGTAAGCGACATAGCTGCTTTGGAAGGTGCTGAATAGGAGGCTGAGCTCGAATTTCCTGATATCGCCTCCTTATCACGTGCAGATGCAGCCCTAGTGTGAGTAAGACGGAACAGGACTATTTTGAGAGGAATATGAATTGGGCCTGGTTCCCTTCCCTTGGGCCAATTTTTTCTCAAACTCCAGGGCTAAACTGGCAGCTCTGTACACGGACCTGAGCTTGTGTATCCACATCTCTGATCCGATGTCTTCTCGGAGCCCATTTAAGAAAACCCCAGAGAGGCAATGCTCCGGCCAGTTGGTGACCTGTGCTACTCGACACGGCCAGTCTTGCCGATATTCCTGTACACTACCGGTCTGACGAATGTTGCACAGATGTTCGTCAGCATTCAAGTACTCCGGCGGCCCAAAATGTTCATTGAATGTGCGCACCAGTTCATCCCAGTAGAGCATCGTGCGTTCAGTGTTTAACTGTTTACCCAGGAGAACAAGTCCAAAGCATCACCTTCTAGATGCATCGCAGCCACTTCCACTCAGTCATCCTCCGAAATCGCATAGTATTTGAAGAACTTTTCAGCCTTAAGCACCCACCCTCTTGGGTCGCCGCCGCTGAATTTGGGAAAATCAAGCTTTGCAAATGGAGGTCGAGGTCTAGGAATTTCCTCCTCTTCATCCACATCATCAGCCCAGTTCCTCTTTTTCTTTCCTTTGTGTTCCTGCGACTGAACCTCTAGTGCCGAATTTTTCTCTCGCAATTCATCTAGCAAGTCTAGCTTAGCTTAGCCGCTATGTCCGCCAATTGGTCGTGTCTCCAAGGTTGTCTCTGGCGGAAGAACATGTAGTCACCATGATTGATCAGAACGTGGGGGCTTTGATACCAAATTGTAAGTTCAAAATTAAAGGGAATGAATTAAATGACCAAACTCTCCTACTTTCTCTCTCACAGTATCTCACAAATGATCGAGAGTTGAAGCCAAGGGAGAATCTCCAAGTCTGAAATTAATATTTTTGCACACCCAGCTTGAATAAGGCTAGGCTATTTATAGAGAAGGAAATACAACTGGCCCATAACTAACTGACCCATAACTAACTCAAAATAACTGACACATAACTGACTCCATCCATGATCTAATAACTGTCATAGTGGACTGATTGACACCAAAACCCACTTATTTCTGTAACTGACGTAATTAAACCAATAAGTAATAAATATTATATAATTGAAGACTCAGTCAACACTTGTTCCTCTGGTCTTGCGTCTCTGGTATGTCAGCACCCTATCGGTATGTTAGCCTAGCCAGAGTCTCATCCAGGGATTAAAAGTACAAAAGGGGTTAATTTACTACAAAGACAGACTTATGTTGCCTATGGGATCTCCCATAATCACTAAGGTATTAACCGAATATCATGATTCTGCTGGCGGAGGACATTCGGGGTATGTCAGGACTTTAAAGAAAAAAGCTAGTGTGATATACTGGAAAGGGATGAGGTTTAACATCCAGAAATATGTGAGCAGTTGTGAGGTATGTCAAAGAAATAAGTATCGGGCTTTAAGGGTTATTGCATCCATTGCCCATTCCCACTCACGTTTGGGCCGACATTAGCCTGGATTTTATAGGATTGCCAAGGGCCATGAGCAAGGACACTATACTGGTAGTGGTTGATAGGCTAACAAAGTCTGCTCATTTTATTGATATAGCCCATCCATATGCTGCTAAAGGGGTAGCAGAAACATTCACTCAAGAAGTGGTGAAGCTGCATGGGTTTCCCAAAACCAGTTTCTGACAGTAACAGTGTATTTTTAAGCTCATTTTGGTCAGAACTCTTCAAATTAGCAGGTACCAAGCACAAGTACAGTAGTGCCTATCATCCCCAGACTGATGGGCAGACCGAGGTGGAATATAAATCTTTGAAAATCTATTTAAGATGCCTCACTGGGAAGAAACCAAAGCACTGGCCAAAATGGCTGCGTTGAGCGGAGCATTGGTACAATACCAACTACCATGCTTCATTATAAACTCCCCCTTTCAAGGCTTTGTATGGCCAAGATCCACCGGTTTTACTTATGGGGATGCTACCCTCACAACTGGGGAGGAAGTAACCAAACTCACAGCGGAGAGGAATAAGATGCTCCGAGAATTCCAACAGAACTTGGCCATGGCACAAAATAGGATGAAGCAACAAGCAGATAAACACAGGAGATAAGTCCAACTTGAAGTGGGAGACAAGGTTTTTCTGAAAATTCAACCTTATAAGATGAAGAGTTTGGAAAAGAGAATGAACCAGAAGCTAAGCCCCAGGTTTTGTGGGCCATTTGAAGTCATAGAGAAGATAATTCTTGTGGCTTATAGGCTAAAACTGCCAGAAGGCTGTGCTGTGCATCCAGTTTTTCATGTTTCACTATTAAAGAAAACTGTGGCTCCTAACATCCCTAGCCAGCCTCTGCCCAATTGTTTGTCTGAGAAATGGGAGTTGCAAACTCAGCCTGAAAAAGTAATGGATACCAGGATGACACCTACTAGAAGATGGGAAATCTTAGTGCACTGGAAGAATCTGCCTCATTTTGAAAACTCCTGGGAGGAATTAATGCCATTTCAGTCCATGTTTCCAGACTTTCACCTTGAGGGCAAGGTGAATTTTGAAGGGAGGGGTGATGATACGAGCTCAGCTATCTGCCAATTTAATCCCAACCGAGATTTTTCTATAGTTTATACCTGCAGGGGAAAAAGAAGGAATGTACTTACATCATTTGCAATGGTGCCAAAGATTCATTATTTTTTGGCTTGAGAATATGATGGAATAAAGCAAAATGGCTCACCAAACTGTCTGCTCTTCTTTGTTATGAAGCAGCAGTTACTCCTTGCAATTTTGGACGCAATTTTCATTATGGGTCATCCGGAAACAGTCTCTCTGTGCTTTAGTACAGGGGTAAGACTGCGTACATCCGACCCCCCCTTACCCCACTGTAGGTGGGGAGCCTTTGCGGCACTGGGGTAAATGATGATTTTTTTACTTACAGAAAAAGAGAGTGGACGCAGACTAGCTACTGAAGAGGCGCACGTATAACGGAAGAGAATAAAGAGTAACGGAAGGGAGGGAAAAGGGTAGTCATGAGTTTTGGTAGAACTCTGGCTTAGGAGAGAGAGACCCTCTCAAATTGGTCTCAATCCGAATTTTCATCGTGCGTTTCTTTCTGTTATTGTTTTCGTTTACCAGCATCACAATAAACCTTCCTTTTAGTGATCAATATATATAATAATTGTGTGGGGTGTGGTTCTTACTTATCATATGAGTTCTTATTTTTATCATTAATCCTTGATTTAAACATCATAGAATAAAAAATGTTGCCAGCAACTTCGCCAAATGTTATTTGAGGTCTACCAATAGCTGCAGTGATATTGGATGTCGTCAGTATAATGACATTTGGTGATGATTTTAACTTGTCAAGCTGAGTTAAGAGCGCATTCACCACCTGAAAATTTAGTTATATGCCAATGACTCAATTCATGCAACATGATTGAAAAACACATAGGTAATGTTAGATAAGCTGTAATGTAGTACACAATAATATGTATACATTTGATTAGAAGTTGCATTACATTTCATTACGTCTTACCAAACTGCACCTTAGTGTTTTTTAAACACTAAAGGCCTCTCTGAGCTACAAGATGATCATACCCGTATAGAATCCGAAGGTTCAGAACCAGAAAAAGCAGCTTTTCTAGCAGCAGCAAGGCTTTCGACTTCATCTGAAAAGTAGTGAACCTTAGAATTAAACACATTTATAAGAAATGTGCAAGAAGCATGAAGACAACAATCAACAATTCTTACCAATCAAAACAAATACAAGATTGCTTTCATCCTCTACCATTTCTTGAATCTTAGAAAACATTTTAGCAACCTGCAACAATAATTTTTTAACAGAATGAGCTAATATGAAAAAGATTTACAGAATTTTGCATAAAATAAATGGTATGAAGAATATTACGGAGTATTACTTAGTAAAAATAAGCTGGAGGTTCATGTTACTGAACTTCAAAGGATTTATGCTGGCAGCATAGCTAATATATTGGACAAATCCCAAATTACAAATGACATATGTGGTGCATAGTCAGAAAAATAATTGAACAATTAACCTCTTTTTCAAGGTTTTGCATGCCATTAAGAAGTTATTTTTGTTCTTTAGCTGGGGATCATCAGGAGTACTAAGTAATACTAAGTAATACTGTTGGCTGTCACGCGTCTACAACAACACCCTCCTCCTTTATCCTGGCTTGGGACAGGCATGATACCAAAAAAATGACCTCATGGCGGAAAATTCAAACTAGAATATAATAAAAAAAAATGATATTCTAATTAAGTTAATAAAATGAAAATGTTTGATCAAAAAAAGTTAACTCAAATCAATTTGGGTCGAAGGTAATATATAACACCGTAAGTAGTAATATGTTGAACCAGTGGTTTTCAAAAAAAGAAAAGAAAAAAAAAGTGAGTAAAGACCAGCCGGGTATAACTATTTAACACATGGAGTACTGATAAAAACAGAGGAGTGCAATGAGCATAGGGACGCAATGAAAAGAACAGAGCGACAAAGAAAAAGAAATGAGGTCGGGCTTCACGAGAGTAGATAATGGCAGAACAAGGGCCTGTGTTAGAGACAGGTGGAGCGACCTGCGTCGGTGACCGGTGGGGCGACCTGCGACGGAATAAAGGACTAAACGTCGCATATTTCGACTGACAACGGCTAGTCGTCACCGCAGAACGCCTAGGATGCTTTGAGTGAGTCAACTGAGCATGGCGGTTCTCCTTCATCGCCGGGACGCCTAGGCGACGCCGTGATAACACTATTGATTCCGGCTCCTCAAGTTAATTATTACGTAGTATTAAATCTGAGTCAGGCGAGAATATTTATTTATTTACAATATACTAGTATATGTTACACTTTATCTACATGTCATGGCAAAGCGTATGAATATGAGGTATGGTCTGTGGTCATGGTTTAGATCTATGCATTGCTATTCTCGAATTTACTAATAGAGTATTGGTAAAAATCCAGAGTAATGCACAATGTACCTGTATGATACTAAATAACAATCCAGAATGACAGAAGAGATTCAGAATGACAGCGACAAAAGACTTTTAAGAACCAATCCAAACATTAAAGTCCAAATCCAAATAACAGTTTATGAGTATTTTTTATCAACTAATTCATGCTTCTGGAACTCTTTCAAACTTACATGACTCAAAATGCTAGAAGAGATTCAGATGAAGAACGCCAAGTCGGTAAATAGCAAGCCTAAGGCCCCCTGACATTTAAAACATGAAGATGACCCCCACCTCCCATTTGCCATGTTGGGTCGGGGAGTGGGGGCCCTTGGGGTTGGTGGATGAATGGAGATGACCCCCACTAGTAGAAGTGAAAAGTAATTCAAGTTGGGATATCTTTGGTAGTGGTAATAGACTATCTGTGTTTCATCCCTCTGTTGCATTTGCAATCAGGGCTTTAGTAATTATTTTACAAAGTACTCATTAGCTGATTTAATCATTTATAATCAGAGTTTTGTTTCTTACAGCTTTCACACCATAAAATAAATAAGAAAATATATATAGAAGAGTTACTGCTAAGAAGTTTTTGCTGACTAAAGAACATAATATTTGAGCATGAATAGCTACTAGTGGCAATTGGCAAACACAAAATGTATTGGCACAAACATATAAAGCCTGAGTTAAACGGTTGATATATGTCAAAACTATTATGTGTACTTACTAACTTGCCGCTTTCAGAAAACCACTTACTAAACAAGGAGTGTGCATTAACTTCTATCAATTGACATTGTGGATATCTGAGTTTGCAAGGCATAGGACATCGTTAAAAGAAATCTTAAATACTAAAACAAGTATCAAAAAAGGAAATCAATAACCATGCACTGACCTTGAGTTAAATCGAATGGAAAGTTTGTGTGCCAATGCTTTACACAAAGATGTCTTTCCTGTTCCTGGAGGTCCATGAAGAAGAACAATTCTGCATGCCATTTCAAATGAGAAACACTAAATTTGTGCTTGCATATTGAGGAATTAGGACAAAACACCAGGTAATTGTGTTAAGTTTACTTGAACCGGAAAAAAGATATAAGTTTGATTGTGTTAAGTTGTTATTGTACTACTACTACTATTATTAGTTTACCTTATTTGCACTAGTTTTCCTATTATTATTGGTAGTACTTTCCTATCAGTATAGGCATTTTATTGTAGTTATTTAGTTAATGTTTTAAGGGAAAAGGGGCAAATAAGCCCACGTACTAACCAAAAAGGTCAAATAAGCCCTTATTTAGGAGGCTCTGTCCGGCCGTCGCCATTTGGGGCAGTTCCCGGTGGAATTTTTCGATGAAATTTTTTGAGCATCTTTTTCATTAAGTCTAGTTTACTCATACCAAATTTCAGCTAACAATTCAATCGAGAAGGCATTCAAATGAATTGTTAGCTTCAAGAATTCATTTGAATGCCTTCTCGATTGAATTGTTAGCTGAAATTTGGTATGAGTAAACTAGACTTAATGAAAAAGATGCTCAAAAAATTTCATCGAAAAATTCCACCGGGAACTGCCCCAAATGGCGACGGCCGGACAGAGCCTCCTAAATAAAGGCTTATTTGACCTTTTATGGTTAGTACGTGGACTTATTTGCCTCTTTTCTCATGTTTTAAATAGCCGCATTGTTTGTAAATGCGCAATGCAATTGCACCTCATGGCGTACATCAGCTAATTCCTGGATTAAGGCATAAAAGGCATTGCTTATGGCGTTGGGAATGTGCATACTACGTACGTGATATAGCACTAAGGCATACGCAGTGCTGCATATTTGGGCCCACTTGACCTACTTTTTAATTTTTATAATTAATATGTTCTACGGTAATGATCCATATCTCAAACCACTAGTCTACTAGATAATGATGATTCGATTTTTCAATCATCAATCTAACAAACTTAAAATTTTAATATGTTAGGAATTTTGTTTTTATGAATGGTTCAAAAATTTTTGCTATTTTGTGGTTTGAACTTTGAACATATTACTTTGCTAAAATTGTGGCTTGATTGGCTTCATTATAATTTATTTTAATACTTCCTCTGTCCCAAAATGATTTGCAAAGTCATTTTTTTGCAAAACAGTTTCATTTTATTCACTTAATTAGGATATCAATTTTTAATTGTATTCTAATTTGGATTTTGCAACTTTATAGAGATTTTAATGTAGTTTCATTTTATTCACTTAATTAGAATATGTAAATTTTAATTGTTAAAATTGTACTTCGTATTAATTATCGATAGAGAGGATTTAACTTAACATTGTTTGACCAAAATTTTTCACTTGTCAAATCAATTTGAGATGGAGAAAGTATGATATTTGATGACTTTTGAATAAAAAGATGTTTTATTTTTTTACCAAGTTTATATGTATATGTATGTACGTACGTACGTACGTACATAAATACATATAAATATATACTTCGTATTTTACGCCTCAATCATATGCCTCATTGTGCAATGAGACCACACAATACGCAATTTCGAACCTGGAATAGCTGTAGTCCGTACTACAATAAGTTAAGGGTTACTCTAATACTAGTCCACCAAAACTCTTGGAACTATATATATAGAAGTTCTTTTCGTGCTTCGGTGGAATTGGCACACACCCTCGTCGAGTGCAGGGAGCTGAGATATTTTTTCAATCACCTAGTTTTTATATCTAGTTTCTTTCTCTACCGATCAGACCCATAACCAAATGATTGTCTCCAATAGTCACTTTGCTAAAAATAAAAGGGAAAATGGAAATTAATAATCCAACCTTTTAGCGGTCTTCTTTTAATAGTCCGACCTTTTCGTTATTCATAAATAATCCAACCTTTGCACCTCATCTTCATTCATTGGTCCCCGACTGGTTGATGACCTGCTATTCCGAGTTATTTTCTTATCTCTGCAAACTATTATACCATAAATTCCACCTTTCACAAAGATAATATTTTGCAAAGATAAGAAAATAACTTGGAATAGCAGGTCATCAACCGGTCAGGAATCAGTGAATGAAGATGAGGTGCAAAGGTTGGATTATTCATGAATAACGAAAAGGTTGGACTATTAAAAGAAGACCGCTAAAAGGTTGGATTATTAGTTTCCATTTTCCCAAAATAAAAAAAGTTGTGGCCTGGTGAAATATGACTTTTTTCAAATTACTAACTTGTAAAAAATAAGCACGAACATCCTCAAGTCTAAAAATAAGAATACAAAAGTATACCTGTTCCAAGATATAAGGAAAGGATCAACGCCCTTCTCCGTGAAAAGCAAAGCACTTGCCGCATATCGCAACAACTTCTGCTTGAGACCAGTTTCATAAACTAAGCTGTAGAATAAACATTATATATACCTTTCCAGACTTTCTCATTTTGTTTATCAGTGTTCAAAGGTGACTCAAACCTTTCCCACATTCCTTCAAATTCTTTTGCTGGAAGAATCCATTCATTAAACGTAGAAAGCTGCCCATCCCCGCTCATTTCTTCACATGGTCCTTCCTCACTAAGCTGACAAACAAAAAGGCAATACCTCATTATGTAAAAACACTTAAAACAGTGAAGTTCCAATGACATTATCCCTTTCACTATGTTAGTTTGGGATAGTATCTTTCAAGTATTCAACCATATTACTCCTTTATCTTTCACCATTTTATAAATACTTATCTATGAATCTTAAAGCTTGCATGCAATATATGATATCATGAAGCAGCTGGACATGTTAAATCAACAGATAGTTTTAAGCTCTTTGGTGCACTTAATGAAACATTGAGAAATGGGAATGCAAGGAAAACACCTGAAATACATGCACAACAGGTCTAACTTGCCAGAACAAAAGGAAATCACCATGCTCCAACCACGTATCTACAAAACCAGCAAATAGGTGGGAAAACGGTATATTAGTTAGGCACTTAGGCAACCATCTATACACTGTCTTCTTTTATTCCAGAGGTTGAACTCTGTATGAAAACACCTGTGTCACACACACATATCCGCTGCACGTTTTCTGCAAGGAAGGGATCATCCAGTGGCACTGGAATAGGACCATCAACATAGCTCATACTCCTCTTTTCCATCATGCTGCATGCAAAAAAAATGATGCAAACAAAAGCTCAATGCCTCAGTTTGTCAGAAACACATATCAAAACAAACCACAAAGTTCAGTTCTGAGTGCCACAACAAATCCTATGGGTTCACTCTTTCCGCTTCAATATATATGTCTACATTAACGAAATCATACAATTTAAGAAAATGCATTAGATGATAACTTAATAAAAACATTTGATACTTTACCTGAAGTATCCTCATTAAAAGCCAACACCTCATTTAAGTTATGTGTAGGAAATAGGGTAAACCGGAAAGTATAAAAAAGGCATGTTGAGGAAAGTTAATATTCATCAAATTTTACATATCGACAAATAAAAAGGAAAAATGGAAATAGATGAGCATAGATATATAGGATTATAGGAAGTATAAAATAGCACATTTGTTGTTAACCAAGGTAAAAAATGACTTTTTTGAGGTGCATCTCTTTGTGACTATGTGAGGTGGTGGAAGAAAAACATTGAGGCTTAAGCCTCAGAATGAACTGAGGCATTTTGTCACTATGGGAGGCTTAAGCCTCGTTTTTTTAGTTGAAAGATTAAAATCGGCTTGGCTTAATATTTTTAAATTAAGTTAGTATAAGTCTTTCTGTACATTAGTCACTAAGCCATAATTTCTGTTTTCCAAAATCAACAATTTCCTTCAAACGCTTAACTTATAAAGTTCACTTGTTTAACATAACTAACAAACTACTATAAACCCCTGTATGAATTTCTTGCATAGCTATCGAGCTACTACCACTATTCTCCTCCTCTTCTTTCCAGAGAGGTCTAATTTTAATTCGAATTATAACAGAAGTAAAAGTGCAACTCGATGTTCGAAATTGTGTATAGCATAGTTGGGACGGTTTCAAGAGATCACGTATTGCACAATGAGCCATAACCCTCAAATTTGTATAGCTTTATATAAGAATGCTACTGATAATATTAATAATCAATTTACATATTTACATAATATAATGAAATAATCATTAAAGTTCAACACATTTGTAATCAAAATGAACAATAATAGGTTCATAACCCAATTAAAATAGTAAATTCAAACATCACATAATAGCCAGTGTAGCCTAACTCCATTGAAGTCTAAAGTTTATTAGACTGGGAAATGAAAAACTAGATCATCAATGTTTATTTGTTTGAAATAAGGATCAAACCCCCAACATCAAATCCGCCATCACAATCATCTTCGTCACAATAACTTTAACACCACCGTTGCGATCACCCTCAACATGCACATCCATTTTTAACCAAAGAAAAGAAAATATAGAAGGAAAATAACACCTTGCAGAAGGCAAGATAATTCACATAATAATCCCATCTTGTTGATGTGCATATCATACTAACATCAAGCAAAATATAACATATCATTAACAGGAAAATAAAAAAAGGCATGGAACTACAGAAAAGAGAATGAAGATTTGTATAAGAGAAGTTGTAGAGGACTGGCAGAGTGATACAAACTTAGCACAACTTCTCTTATCTATCTTAATATAATAAGAAAAGGAATCTTGCAGAGCAAGTTCCCGCCCAAAGATAGTAGCCTCTAGAATTATGATGTCACTTTTACAAGAATAAAGTTTTCTAATAAATTTACCATCTCAAAATCTATAAAACATGAATCGGTAAAGGGATTCTAAGAGAAGATTTCCGATTGGCTATTTTGGTTGAGCAAACGGCTGATGTTTGGTTCCCCCACGAAAGCATTTAATGCAAGTCTGCTCTATGTTCACACTTTGTGGTACATGTACCTGTATGGCTGTATATAAACAAATTTAACGTGGGTCAGTGGGTATCAATTAGCCAGTGCACTCCTTATCTTTCAATTTCAATTACATTTTGTCCGGCGGGTCAGTGGGTATCAATTAGCCAGTGCACTCCTTATCTTTCAATTTCAATTACATTTTGTCCGGCTTAACATCATCAAAAAATGCATGACTGGCATGTGGACTTTTATCAGAAATGTGAATCAATTCAAATGAAATTAAGGTCTCAAGGTTCAAGCTATCCGAGTGCTTAGTGTTCCAGGGTATTCATCATTTGGGCAATTATTAGTGTTAATATTTATTTTTAACCGTTCTCTTTTTAGATAATTCTTTTAGGTAGTTTTCATACAGGTAATTCTTTTTATGCCGTGTATTACCATCTATTTTAAATTAGTATTGCTGATGAATACTCACGTTTTTGTAAGTATGGTTTAAATTGTTTTCAAACAAGACATGATTTTTCTTTAAATTCTTAAATGTGGGAATGTTCATATGGTATCGAGAATAATTTAGTTTTAAAATTATATAATACTTTTCAAAATAACATATGGGTATTGATATGAGTTGAATGGGTAATGATAATTAAAAGATGCATTGCTACGACTAAGTTGTTCAAATCTAGATTTTATTTGTTGTCTCTATGAACATATAGTATAAAAAAAGCAAGTATTCTAAGCATATTAATTCTGAAGTTTATTTAGCACGTTCCAAGATCTATACCTCTAATAAAACAAGTTAAGCACTAACTACAATCACTTAATAAACTCAAACTCTATAAAAACTTCCTTTTTTAAAGTTACATTCAGCAAACTTTAATTCTTTATCATTTTTTAAACTGCTTCTATCGACTTGACAAGTATAACAATAACAGAATATAATTCATTAATTCTTGAATTAAATATGTTTTGATCCATCCTTGAGTTCTCTTAAGATGACAGCTCCATCCTTGCTTTTTTAGCACTGCTACTAATTTTTTAAGATGTTTCTCTCTTTCACTTTAATCGTGTTTAAAAAATCGGGCATAAACCCTGATATGATATAAATGGTAAAAAACAAAACCTACTTCGAATTTCAGATTTTTAAAAAGTAGATTAATTTAAAAGTTACGATATAAAACTTAGAATAAAGATTTTAATTCGACAGAGGCACGCATGCAAGATAAATTTAAGTCTCGAATGTTTTATCAATAAGAAATTAAAATCAAAGATTTGATGAAGATATATATGACTCTCCAGAACGCTTTATAACAGGTTTCTTGTAAGAAATTTTATTTTTGAATATTGACAAAGCTTCATTGAAATAAAGGCAAAAAGAGATGTATGAAATCTAGATCGAATTAGCAGATATATGAAATGAATAATAAATACAATATCTAGCAAAGACTTACCGATTTCATACAAGAAGTTCATGGTTTCGGTTTCACGGGATCAAATCGAGAGGGAAGCTTGGCGGAAGATGAATTGGCTATCTCAGGAGCTAAAGCGATTGTGCCCTTTCTAGATGCAAGGATATGTGATAGGCTATATTTCAATAGTGTTGAATTATTTTAAATGAGTTGTTTATGGACAAAATGATTTTTGTGCTGCATTTGGATTATGGACTAAGAATTTTTTTAGCAGCTTTTAATTTAAAAGATAGCTAACGAAAAATATGTTGTGTAGTACTTTTAATTAGTTGGATGAACACTTCTATATATTTTTTCTTTTTATTTCTAAATAAATATTATGTCAAACATTTTGAATGATGTATTTTTTGGACTGCATATGAATATTACATTTTTTGGAGCTTTTTTTTTTAATAAAGGGTGAGTTTTTTTAATGGTCTCTCTGTCTAATATATCAGAAAATTTGAGAGGTGAACATGTTAAGTTTCAAATTAAAATTTTGATGATCTTCATTTTGAATCTCCCATCAGAAAAAATTGCATAGCCATTCATAAAAGACCTAGGACTTTACTATTTTCAGAAAATTTGAGAGGTGAACATGTTGAGTTTCACTTTTGAAACTTTACAACATGTAAAATATACAGATTTTAATTTTCCATTGTTTAATTTTTACATTTATATATTACAATATGATTTATGATCCTTGGTTTAAATATTTCGACCGTGCATTGCACGGGTGAGAATGTTTCAAAATCTATAGATTTTTATATGATGTCGTTTTAGGATAAGAAACGAAACTTCCTAAATTGATATTTCAACATTATTTTATACTACGCTACTTTAGGATATGAACCTTCCTAAATAGATATTTTATCTTTTCCTTATTTCATATTTATATTTACACATTACTCTTTGATCATAATATTCGGAATATATTTTCAGCCGTGCATCGCACGGGTGAGAATACTAGTTTGTATAAGAGAAGTTGTAGGCACAAACTTATTTAATTAAACCCTGAAAATGCAATTGTATATGGCTCAATCCTGCTTCACTGAGTACACCTCAACCCAAAAGGCTTAAGTCTCAACATTGCATAATTTGGGATTCGCCTTAGTGCATATTTGCCTCAAACATCGCTGAGGCGGGCCTCAAGATGTAAAGGCATTGCACAATTACGAACATTAGAGCAACTTTAGTCTTTACTCTTTATAGTTTTCTTTTTATCCAAATTGATCCACAGTGTTAATATATCCAACATTCCCACCATTTCTTCTCTTTTTTCTCATTAAAACTACTTTTTATGATTTTATTTAGGATAAAACTCTTAAAATACTTTTCAACGCTTAATTAAATCTCATTTTCTGTGACATTGAATAAAGGCTCATTTTCAAAATTAAAACTCATATTCTATGTGTGACTGATAATATGTCTTTGATTGTTTAGTATTTTTGACTGGTAAAATAAGTTTCATATAAAGTTGTCTTGCCTCTAGTGTTATCTACTCGGTGAGTACTCGCCGAGTACTCACAACTCGGGGGATGGCCGTTCTGGTTAGCACTCTAACTCGTCCTGTTCTGTTTTTCCGAGTTACTCAGCGAGTTTCTTAACTCGGTGACAGTTTTGACTCGGTGAGTTACTTGGAAACTATTAAATGTTTTTCGTTAAATCTGAAAATTTAAACTAAAGTAGGATACTATGGAATTTATGAATAATGAGCGAGTATTTTAAATTGGAAACAAAACAAGCCACCGCTGTACGAACAAATACAAGGAGTCAAAACAGAAGGGAGAATGTGAATGCATCACACTCTAGTATGGACTGCTTGATACTTATTTAGATGACGCGGAAGAGGATGAACTTGTCAGGAATCTGACTAGTAAAGATCTTTTTGGAGGATATCTATTTGGGAATATGGAGGATGAAGAAGAAAATGACGAATTTGAACCTAAACGAATATTAATTTGGGACCAAAGCATTAGATGATTGATTTTCTTGGAAACTTGGAATGTTTATGATTTTTACTATTTCATTAATAGGATTATTATTTATTTTATTCATATTAAAAAATTATAAGACTAATATAATACTAGAATTTAGGGAATCAATTATTTTAAATTTGATTAATACAGGTCAAGTAATCACCAAGTAATCCTGAGTACTCTTCCTACTCACTATTGAGCCCTTGACCTAGTCTTTGCCTCACAAATGCAATGACTGGAAAGGGACTTTTACATATTGCTGTTGAGAGCCCGAACTTTACTGATGACGCCTATGTCAGGTTAACCCTTTCTTAACAATAAAACACTTCCTAGATAAATAACAGAGTTGTCAACTCCAGTGGAAGTCCTTCCACTAAGAAAAAGCATCATAACCAAATCCTTAGCATTCTTTTATAGAACGTGGAGATACCTTTCGACGGCTAAGCGGATATCACCTACTCGGGCTGTACAAGAGGGCTTCAAGCAAACCTCAACTGCAAGAACAACTTTGGAAATCTTAGTCCTGAAATCTCATTTTACATCCTGAAAGCGCAGTTATGCAAGCGCAAAGCATTGTGTGCTTTCAATGTGGGTAGTTCCGCATAAAAGGCAAAATAGTCTACTTGAAAGTCGAGTATAAAGCTATATATTCTAGAAAAGACAAACGGCGTAAAGAATATAAGTGCGATTAAATTGACGAATGAAGTGATAATGGAGAACCTGATACATGGATCTTCTCTTCCTGGGCGATGGGGGCCAGATGAGACTTTGGTGATGGAGGTGGCTCCTGAAGCACTTTGTTGTGCTGGGAGCCGTCTCCATCGAGGGCATTCCCCATTGAAACTTCCATAGGAGCACTCATCTCGGAGACTTGGATTCGCGCGAAGGAAGAACCGAGTCCCTCGAAAGCGCGGTGCCGGATGTGCAATTTGAATTTGGTCACGAACCCAAGGCTCCAGGTACGACAACAAAGGCCTTCTGGTCCAAAGGTATTTCCGTATTTCTAAGTCCAAAATATTAAAAAAGTTTATTAAAAAAAGGAAAAATTCACATGAATAATCCCAACTATCACGTGTCTTCCAATATTAATCCTAAATATGTGTAATTCTAAAATAATACAAAGTTTATATGTCATCTTCTCATATTGATCCTAGCTTACTTGAAACCTATAGAACCGGTAATAACTAAAAAAACTCAAAAAAAAAAGGAATAGGTGGACTCTTCTTTGGACGGCTGAAACAACAAGCCGTTCATTTACTTCTTTGGGGGACAGTTGGCCGGCCAGCCGCCGACGAATGGAAGAGCAGATGGCAGTGTGCCAGTGTCGGCAAGGAGGAGCAGACCTTCAATCTCTTCTCTCCGGCTCCATACTCTATTCGAATTGAGGTCCTGGACATTTTAATTTTCTCTTCACTTAACTGGGAATCTCCCATCACCGGTGGAGTCGTGGAGACAAAGTTTGTGACAGCAACAATCTAGGGACGATGAAACAAATTCAACTATATCCCTTCTACCACCTATGACTCTGGTTTTTCTGTTCTCGGCTAACGGGCTAAGTATGGGAATACTCCGGCTCTCTCCCCTCCACGTATATATCTCTTCTGAATCTCATTTGGCTGTTCTCCTCTCTTAATTCGAAAGAAAAAGAAACCGATGGGGTGGAGATGAGAGATACGTGTTGTCTAGCAACCAATTCCATTTCCTTGGTTGTTGGGCCTAAAGCACGGGGGAAGGCAAAGAGGAGCACCCGAGCAACCGAGCAACTATGGAAAAATTAAAAGAAAAACGAGAATTAGAAACGAAAAAGAGGAAGAAAGAAGGGAGAGTGGGAGAGAAGACGAGATGAAAGAAAAACGAAGAATGAAAAGAAGGATAGTGCACACTGGAGAAAACACAGAGACAACGGACGGAATAGCAGAGAAAAAGAGAACACATACGGACTAAGAAATAAAAGGATGAACAAAAATAGACCAATCCAAACACGCCACGTGTCTAGTTACCTACTGAATTGGTTAATGCAGGTCACCGGGCTGTTCAGAGAAGATGACCATCATAGGTTGAATTATTTTAGAATTACGTATATTTGGGATTAAAAATAGAATATACTTGATAGTTGGGATTATTCATGTGAATTTTTCCTTAAAAATATGTATTTACTTCCTAGCTTTTGTTTTATCTGTGGTGTAATCGGACATTCTGATAAATTCTGTCCATTGAAGTATGAAGAAGGCTTTGTAGCTGAAAAAAATCTATGGGGTAAGACTTAGAGCAGGAGGAAGGGCGAAGACTAGCCCGACAGGAGACAACAAATGGTTATGTGATGGAGCTTCTAGCTCAGATGGATACGGAGTTCAGCGGAAGGCTTATCTCGGGGGAGAGTTTTCGGCTGAGTCCAAGACTAGCAGGCCATCACAGCACGAGAAAGAGGACAAAGATGAGACTCCTGGAGATACAAAGCGCAGAAGGATATGGGATAATCAGACCAAAGAGGACATCGCTGGTGAAGGAATGACTCTGGATGGGCCAAAAAATGGGGAGGTGACGGGTCAAGTCTCTTAGACCCGCCGTGTTTTCATATGATGGTGTTGGTGAAGAAAACAAGTGATGATGTTATTTTTATTGTCTGTTTTGTTTACTTTTATTTCGGATGCTATGTTCTTTTTTCCTTTTGTGTTTTCAATCCTTGTAAGACTCTTGCATTAGGTTTGGGGGATGAAAAGTCTGCGGTAACCGTCATTGGCTTTAAGTTGCCCAATTTTGGTCTAGCGTGTTATACTACTTTTTTACAGGTGATAAAATCTCAGTCTCGGCCACGGGCGGATGGTTATATGTGGTTCTTTTCTATTTTTGTACCCTTGTTGAATGCTATTTCTATGAATTAAGTCCTCTTCGACCAAAAAAAAGTATTTACTTCCCCCAAATATAACATTCTTTGTTTTAAGTTTATATACACACACACATATATTCATCCCTAATATATCTTTTTTTTAAGGGAAAACTGTCAATTAGGCCCTCCAAGTATACCGAAAAAGTCAATTAAACCCCCTAAGTATACGAACACCCAATTACATAAACGACCAAATTTGAAATTTAACCGGTGACAGATCGGTCATCCGGTTACAATGCTTGAGTGGACAGTGATTTGGCATAGGAGTCCAGGTTACCCCTTTAAATGTTTTGGCTAATACCAACGTGTCTTCCATCTTTTTTTTCCATCGCTGAACCTAAATTTCTCCCCATCTTCTCCAATCGTTCCACCCAATGTCTGGTTCATCCGCATCAACGACTAGGAAATATTCAGGGGCTACAACTCTTGACTATGAGCCCCCCGTTTACTGTGGATGTGGTATCAAAGCTCATCTTTGCATCAGTAGAGAGTGAAAGAAAGTTTTACGGTTGTCAACATTGGCCGGTAAGAAAAAGCGAAATAAAAGAAGTTGTGATTTTTACGTGCTTTTACAGTTATCAACAATGGAAGGTAAGCAAATTCATTTTGGGTAAGTTAATTTACTATACCTAGGGCAAAGATAAATGATAGATAATTAAGAGGGGATAAGCCTAGCTTGTGAAGTAAATTGACTTTTTTTTAAGTGTATTTACATTGAGTTATATATCATATATGTAGCATACGTACAACAAATTTAATGAAAAATTGAATTAACAAAAAACTTGAATTCCATGAATATAAACTTTGAATATGTCCTGTTCCCCAAATGGTCACTTATATCGATTGAAGTGAACTGATTTCTTATTTGTAATTCTTATATGGATTGAAGTGAACTTATTTCTGATTTGTAATAGTATTTACAGGTTGATGGATGTGGGTTTTTTATTTGGATGGATGATATGGATTTAAATAAAAAAGTTGGAGGAGGTAAAATGCAAGGAAACCGGGATGAAGTGAAGACAATGATTGCTGGACTTGGTCAAAAAATAGGATCACTTCAAAGAGAAGTGAATTGTGTGAGACATATAGTTGAAAATGAAGTGAAGGAAAGAAAAAAATGAGGAAGATGTTTGTGTTAGCTAGTGCTATTTGTTTTGGTTATTTGGGTGTATCTCAATTTGAGATAGTGTAGTGAGGATGTGTACGGTGTGTGTATTTTGCACATGATTTGGAGCATGTAATGTCTTCCGACTTGTTCAAATTAAACATGTAATTTGGATTTGAATTTTTTACTGTGTTTACCTTAGTTTGGCAACTTAAACCAGTAGCTTTGAGTTTTTTGGGAGTCATTAGAGACTTCAAATTATTATCAGTTTTGTTTATGACTATTGTGATTTTAGTGTTCATCAATGGCTTAATAAAGCCTCAGTGCAGGAAAAAATAGATCAACTACATTCATAGTTCATCTTCAATCTAGACCATCATATTCTCCAATCCTGCCCTGCCGGCCTGCCCATCACGTTTAATTAATGTACTACCACTACCACAAGTTGCATTTGGGCCTTCTAATCAAAAGGGTAGAGACTATAGACTACTCAATGTGGGCATATTAGATAGGATAAAATGCATGTTTTAGGGTTTACACATCAAAATTTATTCATAACACTCAGTTATTGTCAGCCCCTCCAAAGAGATTGTGTATTTAACTCAGTGTATTATTATAGATATAGACTTGGAGGGAACACCTGGAAAGAAGTCTATAGACTTTACTTGTTCCCAGTAAAGTCTGAGAAGTGAACCAGCCCCCTACGGACTCAAGTAGTCAAGTAAAGTCTATTCCAGTAAAGTCTATATACAGAGTATATACACTTAATGGGAACACCTTCCCCTATCACAGAGTAAATAGGTTTAAACATATTAACATAAAATCAACACAAGCCAAACACATGTCCATGACCATATATACCCAATTGTGCTTGTACATAAATACAATATAAGCCAAGTTCATCACCATACACCAAAAACCAAGAGCAAGAACATACATCACCAAGTTTAAATGTGATAAACAAAACACCGAAACACCAAATGTAATTGCCATAACAAAATACACATAAATATGGCCTTCATTGGTGATTTACACATAATTGTCAACAAAAAAGTACACCAAAATGATTTCATAGCACACTGTCCGGTGGCCTTGACTGGTGATGTACATAATCTCGTCATCCTTCAGTTAGCACTTGCTCACTCGACTGGCCTGGCTGAAATCACGTAAACAATAACAATACATTAGTCAAAATAATATGCATTTTTCATAAATTTCATTTACTTGTTGAATAATGACAATATAACATCTCTTACATTTAATATAGTTTCACCAGTGAGGGGATTTGTATATATACCAAATCCCCTTTCAGCGGCAGCGATTTGCCTTCTTCCTCTGCCTTTACATTTTCCAATCCCACGCCCCTTACCTCCCCCAGTGCCCCTCTCTATAGCATCTGGCTGCTGTGTAGAACTAGAAGATTGTCCGGTGTTTGAAGTAGCACACCCACGCCCCCTACCTGTTTCTGTACCCCTCCCTCGGAATCTTCTATCATTTCTCTCAGCCTTAGGTATAGGGTTATTTGGACAACCGGATTTATTGTGTCCTGGTTGCTTACAGATTGAGCATGTCATGATATTACCCTTCTTAGAAAGTTTTGTTCCAGAAGGTTGGCCTTCACTCGCTTCTCTCACTCTTTTTTTCTTAGGCCTCCCACTCATTTTTTTGGGTACAGGGGGGGAGAATTTCTTCGTGCTCAGTTGTAGGCCATAATAAATCTCCATTTATAGGCTGTAGAGTGTGTGCATGTGTCCTCTTATACATTTCTTTTGAATAGCACCTATCCACATACACTTCTGGATCCTCACCCATATCGAATATGGCACAAACTGCGTGTGCACAAGGTATTCCACACAGATCCCATCTCCTGCAAGAGCATGACCTACTCTTTAGACTGACAGTGAATTGTTGTCTACCTTTCTTGATCTCATATCCGTCATCGCCATTGAAATCTACATGCCAACCTGAACTTGCAAGAATATTCTTATTCAACCTTTTCATTATGATTGGGCCAAAGTTACCTGAAAGTAAACAGTATGTACACATTATATCTTCACATATAAACTTGACCTACAATATGATAGAGGGAAATATTCTGAAAGCACACAACAATAGCCATGCTTAATATACACTTCAATTAAGAAACATCTGCTCATGAGTGGAGCCTTAAATCTGGCCGAGTCAATATAGTTTGCATTAAAATGTTAAAATGTGAATAAATACAATTACCATCTATTCTGAGCAAAAACAATACAGTGTAAATGTAAATAACTTTACCTGCCCACTTTTCCACATATTTCCTCTTCTTAGCTATTCTCTTCATCGTTGCAACCCGTATATCTTCCAGCATTGGTATGAGAGGCTTCTCTCTACATTTTAGTAAAGTGCTGTTAAAAGCTTCTGACAGATTGTTGTCTACTGTGTCACATTTTACCTCACTTCTAAAGTACGCCTTACACCACAGGTGGAATGGGTATTTCTTCAAGTCAGTTGCAGCTTGGACATCTAATTTCTCTAGCTCAGTCAATGCAGCTTGCAATTGTGCTTGTGTTGTTGACTTTGCACACTTCCAGAAGATTCTCCTAAACGCCATACCCCTATGGGTTTTGCTCCAGTTAGCGTGGATATGGCGGGCACAATTTCTATGCTCAGCCCCGGGCAACACATGCACAATAACATTGCTTAAACCCTACACAAATACAATACATATTCCCATTATGATTTAAAAACATGAAGTGGGAAACTGATTTTAAAAAACAACATTAATGTTGGGATACCTTCTGTTGATCTGAAATGATAGTCCATAAGTCTGGCGTTTGAATGTCCAAATCTGCCTTCAATAACTCCAAAAACCACGTCCAAGATGAGTTATTCTCAATTTCAACGATTGCCCAAGCTACTGGAAACATCTGATTATTGGCATCTCTCCCTACGGCCGTTAAGATCTCGCCCTTCAACTGACCTTTCAAGAAACACCCGTCTAGACCAATAACCTTTCTACACCCTTCAATAAAACCTCTTTTCACTGGTCCAAAACATATGTACATGCGTTGGAACACACCTGGACTTTCAGGTACAACTCTTACAGTTTTTATGATCACACTGCTATTAGGGATGGATTTCAGACATTCTTCACCATAATTCCTAAGCTTTTTAAACTGGTCTTTAAAAGAAGCTTGTGTTTTATCATGAACGGCTTTCAATACCCGTGTAGCCATACTCAAAGAAACATGAATTTTCAACTCGGCTTTGATGATGTTCTTCAAATCAACAGCTCCGAGGGAAGGATTTTCTGCAACCTTTTCCTCAAACCTCTCAGCCAACCATTTCCGACTAACCACTGCCAAATTAAACTTTGAGTTGCATCTGTGCTTGGAATATAAAACCACAACTTGGAAGCATCTTAAGGTCTCATTCCAAGTGGCAGTGCAAGTGTAACGGCAAGGAGGTCTACATTTCACCCTCACTCTCTTGGGCTCATTTTTTTTAAAAATACACATCTTTTTTTTAGCAACAGCGTATGAAATTATGGCATTCTTGAACTGACAACCATCTTCAAACAACATGCCGATTTTTATTAAAGGTGGGTCAGAATCAGGGTTAAATGTGGAATGTCTGACCTCATCTAATTCTTCTTCAGATATGTAGGGAGGAGGGCTGTCGGAGTCATACTCTACACTATCTTCAGAGTCATTATCACTCTCACCATTTGACCTCTTTTGCTTGCTTTGCTTCTCATTCTCCTCTCCGCTAATGTCTTCTTCCTCATTACCATCACTGTCAGACTCTTCATTGTCCAGGTCACTCCTTTTATCTCTTAGATCAGTGTCAAGGTCTTGCAATTCCACATCGACCAGTGTGTCACTTAAAACCCCTTCTTCACTATCTATTTCAGTACCACTTTCTCCCCCCTGTTCATGTTTTTCAGTATCACCAGATGGATTGTTATCTTCATCTTCAATGTAAGGCATTCCATCTTCTAATGACGGTTCGTCTGGTGCAGGTAAAGGTAGCAACTCGACCAACTCTACCTCATCAATACCGTGTTTGACATATATATCGCAAGCTCCACATTCTCTAGCCAAATGAATTAGGTAAAGAGTTGACTAATCATTAAATAACTCATGCAATGTGTCCATAGGATCCTCTGGTTTTTTAAAATACAATCCCTCAATGTTCCCATACGGTCCTGCTTTTAAAAACTTCAGAAGGTGGGGGTAAGATATCAGGTCTGGGTCTAGAATAACATTGCCGACCTCACCGCCTTTGTAAATGCATGGAGGAGTGGTTATGAAAGTTCCTCCGTGGTGAATGATAAGTTCAACCCTTTCAAACATGCTGTACATATAAAAAAAACAGTCAAAGATAGGAAATGGTCTGATCTAGTGTTGTTCTGAAGTAAGCATAGTAAGAGAACTATCTCAAAATAACAACACTACTCTTAATAAGAACAACAGCAAGACCAACTCACATTATCCAATTCTAAAGCTTAGCAAAATTTAACATTAAAAACAGCTTAGAAGAATTTAATAAATTTCAAATATAATAGTTTTCATTGTAGGACTGAGCAGTTTCATACAATCATACTCCAAATATAAGTTGAGAATACATATCAAAACTGTGTACATAGCAGCAGAGGTTTTACAAAAATAAAATCCTACAATAAGAATCAATTACACTAATTGATTGGACTCATCATCATCAACATTAATACAAACAATGACAATAAGAATTAATGTTGAAATTATAGAAGAGTGCCAATGATGAAATAATATCAGTTAATAGTAAATTTCAAATAGACTGCAAAACTTAATAAAATAAGCCATGTACCCATGCCCCTCCTTCAAATTGAAAACATACATACTTTTGAAGTCAGACATTAATGGCAAGAAGAAAAGCGTGCAACACGAACGGCCAAAGTGAATAGTACAACGCATTTACCTGGTGCTTTAGTGTTATGCGGACTATGCAGCGAGGGGCTTCAGTGTTATGCGAACTGTGCTTCACGTCGCGGCATACATTTTCAAATCGCTGGGGTAATCGTTGTTGTACGTCGGGGAAGGAGGGTAAAATTAGGGCTGGTGAAGGTCGTTCAGGGATGGTGAAGGTGAATTGGGGAGTGTCTCGCTGGCATGTAATATTTTACTTTTAACTTATTTGGAGTAAAATTATAAGGGCCCGTTTACTAACAGAAATATTTTTCTGTTTTCATTTTCTGTTTTCAAGCCTTCAGTTTTCTGTTTTCATTTTCCAGTTTTTTGTTTTCCAATTCAGAAAACATGTTTACCAGAAGTTTTCAATTTTCATTTCATTTTTACCAGACAGCGTTGACTTAATATTTCGAAAAAGAAATGTACATTTAAAGGGACATTTGAAATAACAAAAAATAACATAAATGTTCCCCAACACTGAAAGTTCAATAAGAGTGACATGTTCATCAGAATAACAGTTGTACTTCGACATCTCAAACATTATAATCATCCCATATTGCATTTGCAATACTTTCTCGAATTTCGTGCATTTGTTGTTGTTGAGACATATCAAATTCGAGTGATCCATTTTCACTTGTACTTGCCTCCGTGTTAACTATCATATCATCTTCCTCGTACTCCAAGAACAAATCATCGTTTCTATCTTGCATGCGAATGAAGTTATGCAATGCGCAACAAGCTATGGGAATTTGGACTTGTCTTCTCAATGGGTAACCACGTGATATGTCTAGAATTGGAAATCTTTCCTTTAGTACTCCGAAACACCTCTCAATCACATTACGCACGGATGAGTGTCGGTAGTTAAATAAAGCTTGCTTATTGCGTATTCGTCCTCGGCCTCGAAAATCATTTAAGTGATAACTCTCTCCACGGTATGGGGCTAAAAACCCCGGAACATTTGGATAGCCAGCATCAACCACATAGTAATAACCTATAATGACGTCAACAATAATTACAATGGGAACCCATATTTGTTAAATAGTGACTTTATTAACACAAATTGCATAATTATTGTATTACCGATAGGAGGCATGGGCAACCCATTTTCGCTTCTTGTAATTGCATCTAAAAATACTCGAGAGTCATTGCCTGTTCCCTCCCAACCCGCGTATACATACGTAAACAACATGTCATGACTACAAGCTGCCATGACATTTTGTGTGACCGTTGCATGTCTACCGCGAAACGTCTTTTGTTTGGAAGCGGGTGCTGAGGCTGCTACATGAGTACCATCAATGGCACCTACACATTTCTACAAAAATTGTACACCATTAATAATATGAGTTAACCAAAGTATTGAAAAGGGTAATTAGGATTACACATACCTCAAAATAAGGATACCATTTGGGTTTTTCTAAAATTTCCGGTTGAACAGGGCCCCTATTAACCGGCTTTATAACTTCTTTGCCCAATCGTGCAAGTGCTCTCACCACACGCTTCACACATAAGTGAACAGTTCGCATTGAATGTTGAAAACGCTCAGCACATGTACGTTGCCCCGCCCCTTGGCATAAAACTAAAAGACCTATTCCTAATTGCTCTTCAGCCCTTAAATATCTTGAATCGTGCAGAACATCCAAATTCTTAAGCCTTTCACATAAACGCAGGAATACGTGTGGGTTCTTCCAGTCCTTATTGCTTGATCCCATCGCTTCCTCAGCTTTGCGTTTCCCTTTTGAGTGCGATCTCTCTGAGCTCATGCCCCTCTCACCATGTAAGAATACGTCCTCATTCTTTCTTTCTTCATCCGAGTTTGTCGCTACCTGGGTGGAAGGAGTAGCAAGTCCTCCACTTGCACTCCCTTGTCCAAAAACAAGATTCATTAACGGATAGTTCTTGCAACCCTTCCTCTTAAAACTCTTAAAGCCCCTGTTCATCTGCATATTAGTAGTACACATATCTCAATTAAATGGCTGAGTAATATATGATTTTAAAAAAAAATTAAATATGAATCAATTGCCATAAAGTCATTAAATTAAACATTCACCTTGTAAAATTTCTGCCAACATTCCTCCGTGGCATGAACAACATTCCGACTGGAATCATATGTAACTCCAGTATGAGCCAATAACTGACCAAATTGTCTATGTATGAGCTTCATCCTATTGTACTTTCCCCGTAACCTGTCACTACCATATTGATAATGACCTCGGATCAACATCTCATTATCCATATCATTCCAGTCTCGACCCTTAAATGTTGGATTCCCGGTTGGATCTTTTTTTACTCTTTCATATAGCACAGTCAAAAACAAAGTCTCTTTTTCATCAGGCCATATGGCATCATCCTTTTCTTCTTGAGTTAAACTCATCTACCACAAAATTTTAGCAAAATTGTAATGTGCTAACATCATAAGTTAGCCAAAACCATATATAACCTGCCTTAACCATATATTACTAAAAGTCTATCAAAAGGTGCCTACTTAACCGCACATTTATGTACGTAGGATAACATTTATGTAGAACCTTGGTGCATAATATTTGTCACAAATTTTATCTCTACATGTTTATATGGATGACAAGTGTCAATGACAACAAGCAATAGTGTATTTGGACCAAACAACACTATTTTTTTAGTGCAGATCAAGAGTTCTATTTCTAGTGGAAACACACTGTCCACAGTTTTTACGAGATACCTATGGTATCCCCTTATCTATGCACCACTTTCACGAGTTGCCAAAATGCGAGATTAAGCGGTGACAGAAGAATTAACTTCCTTCCTTTATTAATATGAATAATTAAAGTTCAACTTTCCTGGAACCTGCTCATTAGGCAGAATATGTGATGCTATTGAAGTAGCAGGAAAGAATGTGATGTCAACATCGTCAACTGTGACAACTGGACTAGTCTCTCACAGGTAAAATTCAGATATTCTTTTAGCAAGTATAGACTGAATACTGGGGCAGTACTACGATGAAACTTGATGCTTTATCCAGTGCCCCAACCACACCCCCATTCAAAGCCAAACGTTTTTATGGATTCCATTATATATTGAGATTCGTAAACTTCAGTATTATACTGGTTACAAGTCTATGATCTTTCTGCCAGATAGAGGATTCCAAAAGATACCAGAAAAAATAACTATAGGTTAATTCTTGGAAGACACTCTGTATATACTCCGGAAAAAGGAGAAAAAACAGACTTCTTTAGCAATGAAAAAGGAATTCTTAAGCAATGAAAACATACATTAAGCATTAAAAAAATAGTATATCCATAACAGACTTCCATTGAACTCTTTCTGTTGTATAAAGTTGTTCACCATAAGATATACACTCCACAGAACCCTTATCTTTCAACCCAAATCAAAATGTCTAAAAAAAGTGACTAAACATAGATAGTTAAGGAAGAGACAAAAAAAAATCTGAGTCGAACCCTCTCTCTTTCAATTCTCTTCGTGAGTAATAATTAATACATAAGAAGGTTGAAAAAAATCATAATATGGATACATATATATATATATATATATATATATATATATATATATATATCCATATACAACTACGAAAAACAGATCAAGAAATAAACAAATTAGCCAGAAATTAAAAACACTGAAGCTTACCTTGAAATCGAATTGGAATTACACGGAAGCCAGAAATTCTCAATTGGCCTTCAGTTTCCAATTGAATTCGAATTATCAACAAGGTAAAGTAAAAATGTCAATTAATTTGAGAGCTTACCTTGAAATCGTTCACAGAACAAGAGCCGACTGAAGAATTGGGAGAGTCCGTGATGGCAGGGTCCAGCTCCTACCGGCTACGCTCTGTTTGCTGGGACTGGTGCAATGCCTTTGGGAAACAAAGTTGCATCCTGGAGAGTGTTGGAGAAGCGCTGCGATGACTTTGGGGAAGCTGCGTGCCACTTTAATACGAGAGGGAAGGGTTACCCTGTCGTTAAATTGAAGCGGTTTGGGGGAGATGTAAATATGTTCGGTGGAGGAAGTTAGAGCGCAGTAATGACGAAGAGTACAAATAGGGCGTACAGCTGAGGAAGATAAACGCAGTAATGGGGATCGGAGGAAGGTAGAGCGCAATAAAGAGGAGGAAGGTAGAGCGCTGTAAAGAATGAAGGCGAACGAGAGTTAATAGGGTGCACTGTAGCTCCGCGTTTTCTAAAACATGAAAACGTCCGAATGTCGTTTTTCAATTAACGAAGGAAAAGGCGAGACATGTCTCGTTTTTTTCCTTTTGGAAAACACTACGGTAAACACGTTTTCTAATTTTTCTGTCTCCAGTTTTCCAAAGTTTTCAAAAAACAGAAAATATTTCTGTTAGTAAACAGGCCCTAAATGTGTAGGAGTATTAAAGCCACATAAGCAGCCACGTCACCTACTTATATCAGTAACTGGTATGTCACCGGTTAAATTTCAAATCTGGTCGTTTTTGTAAACTTGCCGGGTGTTATTGGGTGTTGTACTTAGAGGGTTTAGTTGATTTTTTCGATATGCTTGGAGGGTTTAATTGACAGTTTTTCCTTTTTTCAATCTATCTTTAACTTTGGGATCACTCTATTTCGGGAAAAAATGTTTGCATAATACTACTAGAAATCTCTAACTTTATCCTTTTTTGAATTTTTTTTAGACTAATATGAGAGTTAAAACGATGTAAATCTAATTCTTCATATTTTTAAAATATATATTAACAACCTTCTAAAAAATAGGGTTTTTTTACAATAATATTACTGAAATAAAACATATTTACATATATATGACTATTCATTACTATAATGTGGTGGTGTGATAACTTAAGCTTACAACTTGAACATGAATTACTATGATTTCATTACTACACTAGTCACTAATCATATTTTTGTAAATCATCTTTATTTTGATTATACTTATGTAATTATTTCTAAAAAATATCTTGTGAATAACATGACAAAGAATGAGAGAAACATATTAGTCGAGGTTGTTAATTATCACATGGAGGTTGTTATCATCGGTAATGAACTAAACTTAAAACCAACATAAATTAAAAAATAAAAACATAATTATGCAAGGATGTTAAAAAAAATACACTGTATTTGCAGGTGTTGGGTTAATGGCCCAAGTCGAGGTCCGGCCCATTCTCCCCTTCAACCAGACGTACGTCTACTTAGAACACAAGTTGACGGCAGGCCCATGTTCCTTAAAAACAGACGAACGTCTGCAATAGGGCTTGGGCTCAACGGCCCATCTCAACGAACGTCTATGCAGGAACAAGGAGTAGGACCACGGACCATCGGGGATGACGACGAACGTCTCCAGAGCAAGCCTATGGTCATTGGAGGAAATCCAGTCCACATGGTGAGAACCCATTAAGGCCAGGAGACGAACAGCCGATGCCTCTTGAGGATTACTTGGAGCGATCCAGCTTGCTTCCCGGGCGGACAAACGTCCCCACTATTTAGGCGGGAAACCTAGATTCTGGCGGGAAGTGCATTTAATGCTGAAGATTTGGTGGTTGGGACACCAGCGGTCCACAGGCTTCCACGTCAGCATAGCCACCTGCCCATTGGCGGGTATAAATAGAAGCATTTATTTCATTGTAAAGGGTTGGCAACTTTCTATTCTTAGCACTCTAGCTATAGCATTCTTACTCGCAGCACTTCTACTGCCCTGTAAGACGAACGGCCGACGGAGCCTTAGCGAAAAGTATTGTATTAGGGAGTTATTAAGAGATAATAATACCTAATCACTTACTTGCTACCTTCTTATCCTCTTTAATCCATACCATCTGCTTGTTGGGCTAGTTTACTCACACACACTCCACTCGAAATCCTTGGGCTTACGTGTTGGACCCGAGGGTTGAAGGAATAAACCTCAACACTGGCGCCGTCTGTGGGAAACTGAACTAAAAGTTTCCAAAACTCTCCCAAACAGCTACTAAATCTACCCACAGCAAGCACGATGACAAGAAACAACCACCAATGTGACCTCTCCGAGCAGCTGTCCCGCGGACGAAGCAACCGCGGGCAAACCACGGAACGCTCCGAGACGTTGGGGACAACTGGGGGTGAGGGTGGCCTCACAAACCTCATCCCCCATGAGGCCAGACGCGACCCGCGACTCATGAGGGAGCTGGCGGAAACAATGCGTCGAATGGCGGATGAACAGGAGGCGGAAGAGGAGGTGTATTCAGCTAACACCATCTGGACGCCCATCTCACCCATCCACCACATGCAGTCCCTGGATAAGACAGCAGAGTCAGCCGGGCGCCGGACACCCATCCACATGAGGTTGGGCCAAAATCCGTCCTCCCACGGAGCTGGGGGGCACACCAGCGCCAGCACCCCTCGTTATGGTTGGCAGGATGATCATCGGGGGCGCACACCGGATGTCCCCTCAGGACAGCGGGGCACCACCATTACCCCCGCCGCCAGTAACATTGGACGACGTTTCCAAAGGCATGGCGCCCATATTACACGGAGGCGACCCGACGCGGTTGCCCCACGAAGGAACGTTGCTCTCGAGGCCGCCCCTCCTGTGTCCCCCGGAAGGGCCGCACAGGAGGCCCGGCTAGAGGCAATGGAACGGCGAATAGCCGAGATGGACAGACGGGCGGAGGCCACCCCAGCCACGCCTCGTTTCTCCCTCACTTCACCTTTCACTCCGAGGGTCATGAATGCAGAGATCCCGCGGGACTGCAGGCCCCCCCAAGGGATAGTATACAACGGGACCGGAGATCCCAAGGCTCACTTGATCAGCTTCCAGGGGAACCTTTCTATGCTGGGAGCGTCCGATGAGGCCATCTGCCGGCTCTTCTTCAGCACCCTGAGGGGCCCGGCGCAAGAGTGGTTCGGGCAGCTGAGGCCCGGATCTATTGATAACTACGAACAGCTATCCCAGCAGTTCATGGCGCAGTTCGCTGCCAGCACCACCCCCAAGAAGAGCTTCGCATCGCTCACAAGTGTGAAGCAGGGGAAGGACGAACCCCTAGCCAAGTTTCTGGTCAGATGGAGAGACGAAGTGCTCCAGGTGGACGACCTGGACGAGCGGCTGGGAGTGAACATGTTCACCAGCGCTTTAGCAACATGGGACCTATACCGGGACCTTCGGAGGAACCCCAGCACCAGCTACACCGAGATGCTGGCTCGGGCACAGAAGTATGCCTCCATTGAGGAGAAGATCAGACTGAGGGATGGCGCGCCCGCGGCTCCTTCCCGGAAATTGGCGGATAGGCTTGGCCCCGGAGGCGGACCATCCCCCCCGAACAAAAAGAAGAAGACGGACGGCGGTATGATTCCGTGGAAGGCCCACCCTGAGGCAAGCCGCATACGTCTGGAGGAGTACCACGTCCCTTTGGCTTACCCCGTGGGCCAAATCTTCGATGCCATCAAAGACAAGGGCATCCTGAGGGAGCCCCTAGACAAGAAGGCGCTTATGGGCCTCGATGAAACCGCATACTGCAAATACCACCAGAGGGTCGGCCACCTCACCGACAATTGCAAACAGCTGAGGATGGCCATCGACGAACTGGTCCGGCAAGGCTACCTGGGCGAATTCACCCAGCTACTAAAAAAGAATAGCCCAAGGCAGCCGAATCCGAGATCACGATCATGGCGCCGCGACGATCGGCGCGAGGCGGAACCGAAGGACGTAGACTACCGAAGTGCTGATAAACGTCCGAAGGGGTCCCTCAGCCCAAACGGCGGGAAGAAGAAGTTGAAGATCAAGGTGATCTTCGGGGGCGCTGAGACTGGGGACACGCCTGCGGAGCGGAAGAAGTTTGAAAGGTCCCTCTATGTGGGCTCCATATCAGTTCCCCCCACTAAAAAGAACAAGGTGGAGGCCATCACCTTCGGACCGGCCGATCTACCGATGTCGCCGGCCCCGCACAGGGATGAGTTGGTGATCAGCATGGACATCAATAATGCGACCGTCCGGCGCGTCCTAATTGATACTGGGAGCAGCGTAAACGTCCTCTACTGGGAGGCGTTCGAAGGGATGAGGCTGAGGAAGGATCAGCTGGCCCCCCTGCGCACCCCTCTTTCTGGCTTCACAGGGGACTGCATCGATGCGGAAGGCACCATCAGCCTCCCCGTGGAGATCGGGGATGGACCTCACACCACCCGCATCCGGATGACGTTCGTCGTGGTCCGCCTGAAATGTGCCCACAACGCAATTTTAGGCCGGCCCGGCTTGGAAGATCTTGAGGCCATCTGCTCCGTGCGGCACTCATGCATCAAGTTCCCCACCGAGACTGGAGTGGGAGTGGCCCGCACGGACCCACACATGGCCAGGGCCTGTTACACCAAAGCCATGGAGAGGTTCAGAGAGCGAGAAGCCCGGGTCAACAGCATCACTGAGAAGGCCAGACAGGCCGACTTCGATGCTCATCTGGAACCAGCTGCCCTGCTCGAAGAGGTGGAATTGGATGACCCTTCGGACAGGAGGGTATCCATTGGCGCTGACCTTGAGCCTGAGATCAAGGAGGGGGTCATAGCTGTCCTCCGAAGATTCAAGATCCTATTTGCCAGAGGGCCGGAGGACATGCCTGGCATAGACCCCAACCTCATATGCCACAGACTCGTCGTACGGCCGGATGCCAAACCTATCCAACAGAAGAAGAGATACATGGCAGCCGAGCGGCGAGATTTCATCAAGAAGGAGGCTGCTACGCTCCTCAGCATCAAACATATTCGGCCGGTCATCCACGTGGAGTGGTTGGCCAATGTGGTATTGGCCCCAAAGGGCGACACATGGCGGATGTGCGTCGATTATTCGGACCTCAACAAGGCCTGTCCGATGGACCCATATCCGGTGCCAAGGATCGACCTGCTCGTAGATGAAACGGCGGGCTGTGAGCTGCTCAGCTTCATGGATGCTTTCAGGGGATACCATCAAGTGTTCATGCACCCGGATGACGCAGAGAAA